ATATTTGCAAACATACAGATGGTTAATTTTTCTAGATCACCATATGAATATTTAAACAAAAAAGATGACTTTTTACTCATGAGGAGGGGAGTGGGTGTGGGTGTGCACCTGTGCCTGGGGGATACCCCAATGATCCTGGAAGAGGGAATTGGTTCTTCTGGAGCTGTGTGTCTGGGTTACACAGAGTTGCAAGACACCTGATGCAGGTACTGGGGAGCAAGTACCCATCTTCTGCAGGTGCAGCAGAATTCTTCCAACCTAAGCCATTTCTCTAGCCCCAACATAGATCAATCTTACAAGAAGCAAAAAGGGGAGCTATCAATAACGTTTGCTATATGATAGCTAATAGTGTCAACTTTCCAGGATCTAGAATCACCTTGGGGACAAGTTTCTTGACACACCTGTGAAGGATTATCGAAATTAGGTTAACTGAGGTGGAAAGACTCACACTTAGCTATGAACTCCAGAGAGAAAACAAAGGAGGCAGCAGAACACAGGCAGCCATCTCTCTTGGCTTCCTCGGAGTGAATGCGGGTGGGACCGCCACCTCATCAAGCTTCTGCAGCCATAGCTTACCCAGCCTCACAGACCTTAGCCTTGAAATGTGAGCCCAGTTAAAACTTTCTTCCTCCAGTTGCTCTTTGTCAGGGCATTTTTTTTCACTGCATCAGGACAAATAATAAATATATTCTGTAAGATTAAAAGCAACTCAAGTCTACTTTAGCTGTAAGAGCATCGCGTTTGCTTCCTTTTCCTTCTCCAGTACTGAGACAGTGCATAAGAATATGAGACGCGATGAGCATCCGGGAGAAGAGGTGGGCATCCAGTGCTAGGTGAAGTGATGCTAAGAGCATCGGATTTCCTTCTCCCATTTACCTTAGCAAGTTTGGTGTCCTCTACAATTAATAACTCTGTCTTCTTTGGTATTGTGGCACTCCTAAAGTTTATCCTCTAAATTGTATTTTGGAAGCGAACAAACAAAATAAAACTTGTATGAGAACAGCTTATGTGGTAGTTGGAATGAAAATGGCTCCATAGGCTCATAGGGAGCAGTATGATTGAGAGATGTGGCCTTGTTGGAATAGACATGGTATTGGTGTAGGATGTGTATGACTTGAGGTGGGCTTTGAGGTCTCCGTCTCTGCCTGCTGCCTGTGGATCCAGATGTAGAGCTCCCAACTACCTTGCTAGCACCATGTCTATCTGCTTGACACCAGGCTTCTCACCATGACAACAATGGATTACACCTCTGAACTGTAAGCCACACCCAACTAATTGTTTGCCTTATAAGGATTGTTGTGCTCATGGTGTCTTTCACAGCAGCAGAAACCCTAAGACAGGTTATAATGTAATGCAAATATCCCTGAAAGAAAAAACCTAAGATAGCTAACCAAATTTGTTCCTTGCACTCTATACCATGGACTAAGTTCTTGGTGAATTAAAAATCAGATTACAGGCAGCTTGTATTAAAAAAACAAAACAAACCTTTCAGTCTAGGCTCTTAGATTGTGACTTATCAAACCAGTACTTCCCTGTTGGAGCCCATTTGGGTTTTCTAGTGGCTGTACCCATCCGGTCTGCATAAAGAGGATGTCTGGACAAAGGACCTGGGTACCGGGTGTCCAAGATGGTCTGCACTTGGCTGTGCTGGGGTGGGGGAGGTGTCTTTTGCTCCACTTCTTGGCATTCCTTTAAAAGTCCTTTGGCAGAGACAGTCAGGGCATGATGGATTAGGATCTGGGCCTTCTCGAGGCTATCCTGCATTTTCTATCTGTTTCTCTCCCCTCTATGTTTCTATCTAATATTTCCTGCTGCTCATGCTCAAGAGTCCTCTGGAGAAAAGTGGGGGTTGGTTGGCCCCCCACACTTTCCAGAAGCTAAGTGATACCAAGTTTTAGAATGCTTCCTTGTGAATAGTGATTCCTATACTGTGTGTGTGTGTGTGTGTGTGTGTGTGTGTGTGTCTATTTTAAGAGATATGCACATTTCCTTTTTTATCTCTTATTGAAAATATATTATTTTCTCACATAATATAGCCTGATTATGGCTTCCTCTCCCCTTCTCCTCCCAATACCTCGCCACATCCCCTCTCATCCAGATTCACAACTTTTCTCCCTCTCATTAGAAAAGAAACAGATATCTAAAGAATAATAATGAAATTAAATAATAAAGACGAACAAATTAGAATGTGACAAAAAAGAGAAAGAGCCAAAGAAAAAGCACAATAAATGCTTATAAATGGAGACATACACGTTCACATACTCAGGAATCCCATAAAACTCCAAAATTGGAAGTCATGATATGTACAAAAAGGACGTGTAAGGTTAACAAACAAAACAAAACAACAACAACAACAAAAACAATGCCCTGACTTAACATTATGAGACAAAGA